CACACACACACACACACACACACACACACACACACACTCTCGCACGCACTCACGCACTCACTCACTCACTCACTCTCTCACTCTCTCACACAAACACACTCACTCAAAAGAAATAGAGAACAGAGTCTCTCAAGATGAAGACGAGTTGCTCTACCAGCGTCCAGCACAGAATTTATTCACGGAAAGTCTGTCAGGTGATTAAAACAATAAATAATGTTTGGTGACTGTTCTGGAATTTGTCTCTAAATATACTTTTCCTAATTAGCTCCTGAATAATAAATAAAATATATTTAACCTGCATCTCTCCACCACTAAAGGCCTGTTCAAGCACGATAACTATAAAGATAAAGATAACGATAAAGATATAGTTCTAAAAATCCACACCACAGCTATAACGCTAAAGGCACAGAGAAACGATATCGTTGGAATCACTTTCAGAGCGATTTTTTTCAGCTGATGAACGATACAAACATTGACAACCAATCAGAATCCATCCTGCTGTAACGAGCTGGAGAATATAAAGCAGCAGACGAGCGTGCGCTTACAGATGATATCGTTCGCTGGTGTGAACGGGGCTTGACACTTTCATTTCACCGATCAAATTTTTGAACTACAATGAAATTCTACCATACAACTGCAACAAATTCAGTTAAATATCTAAATATAGATTTAAATTAATATATAAATCTATAAATTAAATCTACAGAATGAAGGCATTATATTATGGGGGAAAAAGGGACTAAATGTGTTAATAAATGCAATAAAGGTTTTAATTTGTGGAAGTGCTCTGCGAAGAGCACCAAAGGTTTCTTTTAACGTGTTTTTGAACCACTGCAACCAATCAGAGGCAAATCTGCTGAGCATGTGAACAATGCAGTCTATTACGGGCGCTTTCTGCTGTCTATTCCTGGATTTTATTACATGTGTTGTTTATAAAGCAAGTAGTTTGATTTTACATTTGATGACCTTGTTGATTTCTGTGCATCACGTGATGCTGATGTAAAACACATGAAAATCTAAAAGCGCTGTGTGCTTCAATGGAGTCTTTCTTCGGTTATTATTTGGTCTGTTGCCTGTTATTTGTATTAGTGCTGAATGACAAATCATGAAGACTTATTGGCATTATTTAAAACAAAATATTAATTCATAAATGAAAACCAAGCCGAGCATTCATCAGCTACTGAATCACAGCTAGTGATGACATTTGTCTGAATAAAGCTCGAGTCCAGAGTAAACAGGCGTTTAGCTTGATCTTCTCAAGGTCTAACTGCTCATTTCCTCGCTGGCCCGTTGAGGGAATGGAGCAGGAAGTGCTTCAGTAAACTTCCTGTACAGCTTCCAAGGTCAAGGGTTTTATTTTTGAAAAGCACACAATCATTCGGTCAGTTGTGGGCGATACCTGCACAAACACGGGAGCACAGGTCAGCAGAGGACTGCTGTACACTACACCCCGCAGAACACACGGCTCAGAGCGGTAATGCTGGACACACACACACACATTACTACACGCTTCATGGACACACACACACACACACACAGCTCACGGAGCAGACGTGTGAACAGCAGGCTCACCAGGGTCATGACCCCCATGCGGTCCAGCTCTCGGCTGGGGCTGTGTGAGGGCCGGCGGGGCGTGGAGTGACCGGATCCGGGCGGAGAAGAGCTGTGGAAAGAGGGCTGGAGGGACGTCATGGAGCGGAAGCGGCCGCCCAGATCATCTCCGCTGCCCACGTGGATATCGATCTCCTCGGCTCTCAGCGTGGTGCTCTCCTTCTCCTCCTGGATCATCCTGCAGCCACACAAACACACACACGTCATCAACACCCGAACCGAGACATCAGAGCACCTCAGCGTTTCAGAAAGCAGCATCGTTTCAAGCAGCCAGTCGCTAAGGGTACATGCACTCATTTTTAGGGATGCACCGATATGAAAATTTTGGCCAATACACATAACCGATAATTCTTTATATTTGAAAGCCGATAACCGATATATTGCCCGATAAATCTAAATTCAAATTTTTATATAATTTTTGAGAGCCTGATTGCAAAAAGGTCTCATCATTAAAAGCCACGTCCCAAACACTTCAACATAAGCAGCCTAGTGTGAACAGTGTATTAGAGCCCTAGCCCGGCCCGTGTCCACCAGCTTATCAGAATTACCGGCCCGAGCCCGTCTTTTTAACAGCTTATACTACTGTTTCAGCTATTACAATACTTCAGTTTCGTATGTAATGGCATTGGTTTGCCTAGAATAAAATCTATAGATATAAAACAGTTCAAGCATATAACAATGTTTAAACGTTAAACCTAGATAAATGTGCGCTGTATCCAATAGCTTGTGCGGAGAGTGAAAGCTAAAGTGCGGTTTGCAGGACATGGAGGCGCCACCGCGATCACTTGCATTTTTTTCAGTGGAAACAACTTACACACTCACACACACTCACACTCACACACACACACACTCTCGCACGCACTCACGCACTCACTCACTCACTCACTCTCTCACTCTCTCACACAAACACACTCACTCAAAAGAAATAGAGAACAGAGTCTCTCAAGATGAAGACGAGTTGCTCTACCAGCGTCCAGCACAGAATTTATTCACGGAAAGTCTGTCAGGTGATTAAAACAATAAATAATGTTTGGTGACTGTTCTGGAATTTGTCTCTAAATATACTTTTCCTAATTAGCTCCTGAATAATAAATAAAATATATTTAACCTGCATCTCTCCACCACTAAAGGCCTGTTCAAGCACGATAACTATAAAGATAAAGATAACGATAAAGATATAGTTCTAAAAATCCACACCACAGCTATAACGCTAAAGGCACAGAGAAACGATATCGTTGGAATCACTTTCAGAGCGATTTTTTTCAGCTGATGAACGATACAAACATTGACAACCAATCAGAATCCATCCTGCTGTAACGAGCTGGAGAATATAAAGCAGCAGACGAGCGTGCGCTTACAGATGATATCGTTCGCTGGTGTGAACGGGGCTTGACACTTTCATTTCACCGATCAAATTTTTGAACTACAATGAAATTCTACCATACAACTGCAACAAATTCAGTTAAATATCTAAATATAGATTTAAATTAATATATAAATCTATAAATTAAATCTACAGAATGAAGGCATTATATTATGGGGGAAAAAGGGACTAAATGTGTTAATAAATGCAATAAAGGTTTTAATTTGTGGAAGTGCTCTGCGAAGAGCACCAAAGGTTTCTTTTAACGTGTTTTTGAACCACTGCAACCAATCAGAGGCAAATCTGCTGAGCATGTGAACAATGCAGTCTATTACGGGCGCTTTCTGCTGTCTATTCCTGGATTTTATTACATGTGTTGTTTATAAAGCAAGTAGTTTGATTTTACATTTGATGACCTTGTTGATTTCTGTGCATCACGTGATGCTGATGTAAAACACATGAAAATCTAAAAGCGCTGTGTGCTTCAATGGAGTCTTTCTTCGGTTATTATTTGGTCTGTTGCCTGTTATTTGTATTAGTGCTGAATGACAAATCATGAAGACTTATTGGCATTATTTAAAACAAAATATTAATTCATAAATGAAAACCAAGCCGAGCATTCATCAGCTACTGAATCACAGCTAGTGATGACATTTGTCTGAATAAAGCTCGAGTCCAGAGTAAACAGGCGTTTAGCTTGATCTTCTCAAGGTCTAACTGCTCATTTCCTCGCTGGCCCGTTGAGGGAATGGAGCAGGAAGTGCTTCAGTAAACTTCCTGTACAGCTTCCAAGGTCAAGGGTTTTATTTTTGAAAAGCACACAATCATTCGGTCAGTTGTGGGCGATACCTGCACAAACACGGGAGCACAGGTCAGCAGAGGACTGCTGTACACTACACCCCGCAGAACACACGGCTCAGAGCGGTAATGCTGGACACACACACACACATTACTACACGCTTCATGGACACACACACACACACACACAGCTCACGGAGCAGACGTGTGAACAGCAGGCTCACCAGGGTCATGACCCCCATGCGGTCCAGCTCTCGGCTGGGGCTGTGTGAGGGCCGGCGGGGCGTGGAGTGACCGGATCCGGGCGGAGAAGAGCTGTGGAAAGAGGGCTGGAGGGACGTCATGGAGCGGAAGCGGCCGCCCAGATCATCTCCGCTGCCCACGTGGATATCGATCTCCTCGGCTCTCAGCGTGGTGCTCTCCTTCTCCTCCTGGATCATCCTGCAGCCACACAAACACACACACGTCATCAACACCCGAACCGAGACATCAGAGCACCTCAGCGTTTCAGAAAGCAGCATCGTTTCAAGCAGCCAGTCGCTAAGGGTACATGCACTCATTTTTAGGGATGCACCGATATGAAAATTTTGGCCAATACACATAACCGATAATTCTTTATATTTGAAAGCCGATAACCGATATATTGCCCGATAAATCTAAATTCAAATTTTTATATAATTTTTGAGAGCCTGATTGCAAAAAGGTCTCATCATTAAAAGCCACGTCCCAAACACTTCAACATAAGCAGCCTAGTGTGAACAGTGTATTAGAGCCCTAGCCCGGCCCGTGTCCACCAGCTTATCAGAATTACCGGCCCGAGCCCGTCTTTTTAACAGCTTATACTACTGTTTCAGCTATTACAATACTTCAGTTTCGTATGTAATGGCATTGGTTTGCCTAGAATAAAATCTATAGATATAAAACAGTTCAAGCATATAACAATGTTTAAACGTTAAACCTAGATAAATGTGCGCTGTATCCAATAGCTTGTGCGGAGAGTGAAAGCTAAAGTGCGGTTTGCAGGACATGGAGGCGCCACCGCGATCACTTGCATTTTTTTCAGTGGAAACAACTTAAAATACGCAGTCATTTTGCTCATAAAGGTAAGAGTAATACATCATTCAGAACTGTAAAGGGTCTACTTTTAATTGTGTGCGCTCACAATATCAACAAAATGTTGCGCTTTTATAAAATAAACAAACATGATGCGCTTTCTGCCGTCTCGGTCTTGAACAGGAGCGCTTCACAAAAATTAACCGAAACTCAGCGAATACATGACTCACAGACATGATAAATATAATGTTTGATCAATTTAGCCTTCTCAAATCATCACGACTTGCCTAAAATAAAATCTATAGATATAAAACAGTTCAAGCATATAACAATGTTTAAACGTTAAACCTAGATAAATGTGCGCTGTATCCAATAGCTTGTGCGGAGAGTGAAAGCTAAAGTGCGGTTTGCAGGACATGGAGGCGCCACCGCGATCACTTGCATTTTTTTCAGTGGAAACAACTTAAAATACGCAGTCATTTTGCTCATAAAGGTAAGAGTAATACATCATTCAGAACTGTAAAGGGTCTACTTTTAATTGTGTGCGCTCACAATATCAACAAAATGTTGCGCTTTTATAAAATAAACAAACATGATGCGCTTTCTGCCGTCTCGGTCTTGAACAGGAGCGCTTCACAAAAATTAACCGAAACTCAGCGAATACATGACTCACAGACATGATAAATATATCTATAGAAAGCTTTAAATTACTACTTAACGAAATAAAATAAAACTAATTGAAAACAAACTCTTTAATTATAATCATAATCCGTAAAGAAGCCAAGGCCCGGCCCTAGGGGTGTAAAAATATTTTTTTCCCCTCAGAAATGATGTGTTGTGTATTAAAATTTTTCTGGTTATCAGAAAAATTTAACAATTTATTTTTGGTGAACAACAGGGATTTACTATTAGAATTAAAACATGGAAGACACTTTTTGTGATTATTCCTTAAAAAATAAAGTTTTAATAATTATAGTAGTAGTACATTCTACTGATCAATACTAGGCTAATATATTTCTGGCACAATGTCTTAAAGTTAAATCGAACTTTTATTTTGACGGGTTGCCGTGAATACCTTTTAAGTTTGTGAGTGTATATGATATAGTTTCTCTCAAATGAAACGGTCAAATGCTCATGAAGTGACTCAGAGATGTTGTTCATGTATTTATGTCTTCAGTGAGACGGCAGACGCTGAAATCACCGCGAGCGTCACGCGCTTCAGTGTGTAGTAAACAAAACCACGCGTCTGTGCCACTCATTCACACAGAGACGCACAGAACATAAAGAACTCATATTTAAATAGCCTTTTTGTGGCTTACAGATACTGGTCCATATCGCGATTTGATTTAAGAGTAATGACCTACTTTTGATTAATTCATCCAAAGTTTGACAAACTGTGTGACATTCCGCGTTATACTATACTGCCCAATACTATATCAGTATTGTGAAAAGCTCATACTGTGGCAGTCCTAGTTAGCACGACATCCAAACCCAGGCCGTCATCTAGAGGAGTGAGGGATTGTGGGAAGCGCACTACCGTATCTCGTTGTTGATGGCATCCAGCTGCTCCTGCAGCATCAGGGCGAGCGTCTGAGCGTCTGCCTGTCCAGCAGGAGACAGGAGGTCCATGGAGCTGAAGACCGTATCTCTGTCGTCCTCCACGTCTGACACGTCCATGTCGCTCTCAAACGCGTGAGCCACGCTAGCCAGAACATTAGCCTGCTGCAGCCGGTCCCACTCCTGCTCGTCCAGTGTCTGCACCTGACCACACACACACACACACACAGACACACACAGACACAGAAACACAGACAAACACACTCTCACACACACACACACAGACACAGACACAGAGACACACTCTCTCACACACACACACACACACACACACACACACACACACAGACACACACTCTCTCTCTCTCACACACACACACAGACAGACAGACAGACAGACAGACACACACAGACACACAGACACAAACACACAAAAAGATGAATTTGTTCTGACACAGTTTAACTCTGAGTTCTTGTCATATTTTATTACCATTTTCTAAACTATAGCAAATAAACTGTGATATAATGTGAGAAATGTTGAAGGTGTCTGAATAATTTTTGTTTTGACTGTATATTTATTAGTTGTCCAAGCCCATTATGTTTATATGTGACTGAACACATGAGGATCACAGAGCTCTCTTCTCCACTGTGAATAAATCATGGAAACACATGAGTTTCATCATCTGTCCCGATAGAGCTTATATTCTAGATGCTGATGTCTGTCACAGTCTAACCCACGCTCACCTTCGAGGGCTCGTCTCGCAGCGCAGACACGCGGCCCTTCTGCGGTCGTCTGAGCACCAGCGCTCCGCTGCAGTGACTGTCCAGCGCTGACGACACCGACACCGGGTACCTGAAGTCCGGCGTACCGCGCCTGCGGGAAACACAGCCCACATCAGCGCAAAGCTCCGAGCGCAGCTGATTCTCATTAGAGTCCTGGAGTTACCCATGATGCAGCAGAGAGTTGCTCCTGCTGCGGCCGCGCTCGTGTTCGGTCCTCATGCTCTCGATCTGGATGAGCAGCTGCTCCTGCGGTCACAGATCCACACTCGTGAGCAAACAAATCACAGCAGAGCATAGGGCTGCACCATAAATCTAAATTAAAGCGCAATCGCAACTAGGCAGAAGCTGCATATCTCGTCAGTGAAGCAGGGTTCTGTGATCAGCAGTAAATCTCCATCTGAAACCCAGAGAAACTCCAAACACGCCCCGCAGAAGAAAGGTAATGCACATCGTTCCAGGAAACAGAAGACTGAACTGCTTTCATTGATACAACGCGAGGACTGTGACAATATATGGTTTATCGGAGTTCTTCTTATAATTATTATTATAATTTTCCTTATAATAAAGTATATAATAATGCAATGCCTTTATCACTGCTTAGAATACTATGAAATATGTTGCGTGCCTTATTCTGTGTAAGAAGCCACATCATCTCACAGAAGGATTTATTCCAAACACCCGGCTGACGTTATTAAGTGAGTTTGGAGTAAAAACATGTTATTAAATGTGGTATTTTCACGTGATGGAGATTTACTACTGATCACAGAACCGGCTTTACTGACGAGATGCGCATGATAATTGTGCAGCGCTAGCAGAGCACGAGTGAACGAGCAGCACACACTGACCTTCTCATGATGAGCCTCTTCTATCAGCTTCTTGGTGTGCTCCAGATCCCGGATCAGAGTGTTCTACGTCACACACACACACACACACACAAGCGTCAGTCAGACAGTGGCGTGTGGAGTCAGACGATATGTATTTTTCTGATGGCCGATGCTGATATCGCAGATAGCAGGGTGGCCGATATAAAGCCGATATACATGATATCAGACTATTTAATATTTAGATAAGGTTTGTCAAACTCAGTTCCTGGAGGGCTGCAGCCCTTCAGAGTTTAAAGTGCGTTCATGCCATATTGTAATTACCGTAATTATGAGATACCAACTTGAAAAAAAAAGTGTTCACGTCCTCGTAATTACAACTTGTGAACTGAGTTTTCTGAGAGCTACGACTTGCACCTCACGCGGAACCAGAGACAAATGGTGGCGCTTTCAGTAGTAAAATGTAATTAATGCAGTTATGATGTAATATTTATGTTTTGAAATTAGTGCAATTGACTTTTGCCAATGTAGATGTCTTCATACAAAAGTAATGCGAACATAAACTAAAGACATGCAACACAGAGTTAGATATCTAGGCTATCCATGTATTAACTGAAATAAATAATTATGAAGTGTAGTAATAAGGCATCTGCACAGCAACTGTTACTTGTATTGTGTTTTACAGCTGCTAGTAACATTCTTTCACGCAGGTTCATCACCGAGTTGAACGTCACATGTTGTCATCTCGGAATTACGTATCCCTCATGAAAAAATACTATAGTACTCTATAGTAACTACTATAGTGTTTTTGAACCATACTATAGTAAAGTACTTGAATTAATGTGTTGTGGTAATCCTATAGTTGCTGTGGTAATATAACAACTATGGTAATATAAACACATTACTTTACCCAATGCTGTACTAAGTGTTCTACAACTATAGGGTATATTATACTACAATGCACTACAGTTCACTGTAGTAAACACTAAAGTATACTACTGTATTTATTACTGTTTATCAGTTCACTATAGTTAATACTACAGTATGCTGTAGCATTCATTAACAAAGTGTTGTAAATACTATAATATACGTATACAGTATAGTACACTTTACTATAGTATGGTTCAAAAACACTAAAGTATTTACTATAAATTACTATAGTATTTCTTCATGTGGGAATTACGACATGGTGTGAACGCAACATTAATTCTAACCCGCTCCAACACATGCCATGTAGTTTTAAATAAGCCTAAAAAAAGTCACACAGAAACACACGGGAGCATCTATCAGCGGAACGGCTATATGCAGATATATCAGAGATCCGCTGATAGACGCTCCCGTGTGTTTCTGTGTGAGCGCTCCGCTCTTTGAAGAGATGATTACTGAAGCCAATCACAGACGTATCTGTTGAGCGCGTGAACACTACGACCAATCAGCAGTGTTTAAGAATCGGCTCAACAGCGCTCAAATCTTAGCGGGAAATGGACGTTTTTAAAGGTGACATATCATGAAAATCTGACTTTTCCAGGTTGTAAGTGCTATAATCAGGTCCCCAGTGCATCTTCCAACCAAGGAAACGTGAAAAAGATTAACCCAGTAACTCTGTTTTGGTAAGCCTTTTTCTGCAAGCATCTGAGAAAACGAGCGCGTCTGATTTCGCTCACAAAGGCCCGAAAAACAGCGTGTTTCTGCTTCCACTCAAAATAGGCATTTTCACAACAATATAATAAATGATCTGTGGAGTATTTTGAGCTGAAACTTCACAGACACATTCTGGGGACACCAGAGACTTATATTACATTTTGTAAAAAGGGGCATAATATGTCTCCGACTGGAACTGAAGTCGGTACTTTTGACAACACTATAAGCGAAACGAATAAGAAAGCTTGGAGGCACGACATACACCTTGATGTAAAATAAAATAAATAAATTACACAGTTTAAATAAAGTAAAAAAAATCAGCAAACACTGTGGAACCAAATAAATAAGAAACAAATGTTTTTTAAAAAATGTCCAAAATCACCTATAAATGACTAAAGTCAACAGGGTTTTCAAAAGCCAAAATATTGCCAAACATCCGCTTTTGCATTTTGTTTGGAAACGAAATCTTCCGCCATCGTCTTGTCTGTCTCACCTCACTCTTCTTGTTGGTCAGCTCGACTCTCCTCATGTGATAAATGAAATCTGACTCCTGCTGATTTTGAATAAATTATTTTTATTCCTATACTATAAAAAAATCAAAGCGACGGTGCTGTGGCTTCAGACCGTCAACACCGACTATCACAGCAAGCCTAGTAGAAAGGCATGCATAACGACTCATTAAATTAAATTTGTATTTATTTTAGATAATATTTACTAAATTAGAAATAAATAATTTATAAATGAATTCTATGAAAGTATAATTTGACCTTAAAGAATGTGTAAAATAAAACATTTATACTTCTTCATTGTGTAATCATACATATGGCATTTTCCAAAACAAAGAGATTGCTAAAAATATGAATTAAAAGAAAGTAATCACAGTAACTAACAGAGCACTCATTAACGACTCTGTGAAACTAATGAAGACGGAGAACGGGAGCTCTTTGCGCTCAGGGGCCAGCGTTCTCAGTCTTGTCAAAATAATCTGGCTCATCTGCCAGACAGGAACTTTCAGTGCGTATGGTGATCATTAATAAACGGCAGAGCATACATCGGCCTGACTGCGTCTCGGTCTGGGACTAGTGATGTGTGGTTCGAGTCGTACCTTGTCCTCCAGCGCAGACATGCGCTCCTTCAGGTGCAGCTGCAGCCTCTCGTTGGACTCAGACAGCAGTTTGTCCACCGTCTCCGACAGACGTTTGTTGTGCTCTTCATTCATCTTCTCTCGCTGACGGGCCTTAAAACACCATAGAAAAGTAAAGCAGCTGTTGTGTTTACACTACAGTGAGCGAGTCTGACGTGTGTGGGGAAAGTTACTTTTAAAAGTAATGCATTACAATACTGCATTACTCCCTAAAAAAGCAACTAATTACGCTACTTTTTATGGGAAGTAATGTGTTACATTACTTTTGAGTTACTTTTTAAATCTGGGCAGGGCTTGCATGTTTGTTTTTAATATAAAAAAAGTTATTTTACAAATGTAAAAGTCCTTTTCACAGCAAAAGTGAAATGAATACGCCTCAGGCTGAAGGAAATGTAAATTCACGTCTGTACAGTAGAGGGCGCAGCTCAAACTAATCACATGAAGAATATGACGCAGCAGAAGAACGTTCAAAACTATTCAACAATAACACAAATGTGTAATTTTTGCTCATTAGTATGGTTGAATTGGATCTTCGAAGGTCAGTAGCAAAGACATCGGTTAATAAAATGGGATTAAATACATACATGATATTTGTTTATTACTTATTTAACATTTAATTATTGCAGGTTTGCATCATATTCTGAGTTTGCATTTGACTGTTTTCATTCATTGTGAGGAACACTGAATGTGTTTGTGTGCAGTGAGATGAGTAAACACATGTTGATATTTAGTCTAGAACTACAGTAAGATCGTGTTCACACACAACGCTCTGCACTTACTCCTGATTTCTGTCACCATGGCAACACCAGAGCTGTCACTCAACACATGGAAACAAAGTAACTATGTTACTGATTTGAAAAAGTAACTCAGATATTTCCTTCTAAATTAAAAAGTAATGCGTTACTTTACTAGTTACTTAAAAGTAATCCGATTCCGTAAGTCGTGTTACTTGTAATGCGTCCCCCCCAACACTGGTGGCAGCACCGCTGAACGCGAGCGAGGTCTGAAGATCACTCACCCTGAGCAGCTCCTGGTTCTTCTCCTCCAGCTGAGCCTCCATCTGTCTGAGACGCTCCTCCACATTCCCATGACGCTCCTCCGCCTGCCAGAGACACACGCATGAGAAACTACAGCAGCAGCAAACCCAAGAGAAAGACAGAACCACTCATCATGCTGTGACAAGCTGAACGTTCACGAGCGAAAGTTGTGCGCCGTGTCTGGAGCTAGTGAAGACAAACGGATGTGTGAATGATCTCAGTGTGGCGCTCCTGTGCTGGGTTCACACCACCATCATCAGGCAGAGTCAGGGATGTGCACAAGTGACCGACAGGATCAGCGCTTCAGAAGGAAAGTAAGAGATGCTGTTTCTGCACTGCTGTTACCAGGTTAAGATGTTGAAACAGCTTATTTTTAAAGTGTTCACTAACTAAATGCGGCATTCACATCTCAGTCATTTGGAACTGATTCTTTTGACCCAAGTACTCGACTAGAAAATGGCTTGAAATGTGCATCCCGAGTAGGGCTGTCAAATAAAAATAAAAATTTCGAATATTCGTTGAATGTAAAATAAAAATCCACATTCGGATGCAAAAACGTTGCATTCGAATTTTAGGTTCATTCAAAATATTGCTGAAAAAGAGAACATCGATGCGGAGATGTTGTTTACGTCAAAACTGAAGCCAAGCCGCTCACACAGAACGCATATTTAGCGCATTTTCTAGAGGGACATCTATCACCGCTGCACTCACGTCTCGCACAAGAGAGACGCATGTTTAGAAAGCCATGTAAAATTAATGCGAGATCAACTTCTAAAAAACATGCTTTGACTATACGGCGTTTTTCCCCCCATCCCACTGTTTTTAAATGAAAAAAGTACTCTGTGTGATTGGCTTTCTTCCATTTGTATTACAATATGCATACATGATGCGGTTTTGTTTATAATTGTTTAAGCAACTTAATTATATTTGGTTTATAAACATTATGCACTTTTTTCACAGATAGTCGTGTTATTTTATTGCTTTGAAGAAACGTGCATTAGTAATATTTCGCCCTCTTGTGGCCTCAGGAGAGAAGCCAAAAGCTTTTTTCCCCCTAACTGAAATTATGCCTTTCAAATCTGAATATAATTTGAATATTGATAATATTTAAGTGCAAGATTCGAATGCAGTTTTTCAGCCATTTTGACAGCCCTACACCCGAGTCAGAACGACAGCGTGAGCTCGTGTACCTTCATCTGTGAGCGACTGTCCTGAGAGACACTGCACGCAGAGCGCTACACACACACACACACACTCACTCACACACACGGGGGAGAGAGAGAGAGAGAGAGAGAGAGAGGGAGAGACAGACAGACAGAACTGCATATACAGAGGAGGAGAGGGAACACGAGAAAGACTTGAGCTCTATGAAAAACAGAAACGACAATTAAAGAGGAGAAAAGGAACTAGACGACAGGAAGTGAAGATGCAGTAAGTAAAACAGTGCAGTGGCTTCATTACTCTGTTAAACACACAGATCCTCCCGTCTGCGCTGATGTTCCTCTTACATCTGTGTCCATCTCACACATTTCACTAAATAAACTACTTGTGTGATTGATCAACTCACTACAGCACACACTCATTCACATCAGGAACACACAACACCGGCTCACATTTTCACTCAGTTAGCAGACGAATGATCTTAATGAAATCTTTCATTTAATGCACAACATTTACAAGAAAGCCCCATGTGTGAGCTAAACACTCAGACCACATGCAGGTGTTAAGGAATTACATTCACACCACAAAACAAATTAAACAGACATTTCTATGCAAGTTACAAAAAGAAAACTCCAAAGTTGTTTTGTGGAGTCCTGTGATCACAAATAATCAGGAGCAGACAGGACGCAATGTGTGTCCTATTTTACATGAAATAGATCAAAAACAGGTTTATGATGTGCACGCTAAACAAAAAGTAGAATAAACTACTATCACTGTAACACTGTTATCACTAATCAGTGGTCAAATATCACTGCAGTATTCTAATAGAAAACAAACAGCAGTTTCAGTCTTCTCTAAACGGTGTGGCTGTGTGACTTTGTTCCAGGGAGGCCAACAGTGGAATCACAGCCGGATTCTGGGCCGCTGACAGCATGTGTGTGTGTGTGTGAGCCGTACCTTAGTGAGGGCCACGACCCTCTGAGCCAGCTCTGCCTCCACCTCCGGCAGCGTCTCGGCCTTACGCAGCGTCTGCTGCAGCTTCTGCTCCGCCAGCTCCAGACGCTCCTGCAGCTGCCGGCCCTTGTCCTCCATCTGCACACACACACACACACACACACACACACGAGCGTGCACGCGCACACACACACACACACACACACATACACACACACAAACGAGCGTGCACGCACACACACACACGAGCGTGCACGCACACACACGCAAGTGCGCACACACACACACACACGAGCGTGCACGCGCACACACACACACACACACACACATACACACACACAAACGAGCGTGCACGCACACACACACACGAGCGTGCACGCACACACACGCAAGTGCGCACACACACACACACACGAGCGTGCACGCGCACACACACACACACACACACACATACACACACACAAACGAGCGTGCACGCACACACACACACGAGCGTGCACGCACACACACGCAAGTGCGCACACACACACACACACGAGCGTGCACGCGCACACACACACACACACACACACATACACACACACAAACGAGCGTGCACGCACACACACACACGAGCGTGCACGCACACACACGCAAGTGCGCACACACACACACACACGAGCGTGCACGCGCACACACACACACACACACACACATACACACACACAAACGAGCGTGCACGCACACACACACACGAGCGTGCACGCACACACACACACACACACACAGACACACACATCAGCCTGAACTCATGATCCATCACGACTGGTTAATCACAAACACACGGATAATCACTGAGACATTAATACAGCCAGAACCCAACACCACTGCTTGGAATAAATGTGACCCGTGCTGGCAAAATGAGTCGGAAAGAGCAACGTTGCATATTTTCCTCCAATTCTTTTCTAAATAATAATTACTATATTATTAATCACAATATAGCTATTTTTTATTTTATCTTTGTAATTAAAAATAAGAACAAAGATGCAAATAAACAGCAGTTTAATCAAGAGCGGCGAGTGATTCTGTCTTTTCTTTTAATGTTTGATTAACATTGAGACAGATCTATATTAAGACCTACTGTAATGCATGGATCAAATATAATGTTACACATCAGATTTTCCCCAACCATTAACTGAACGTTCATGTAAGACATAACAGATTATGTTTGTGTGCATCTCGCCAAGACATATTTCACAATAATGTACTTTATAGGGAGATCGCTCGCTCTCGGAGAAGCACGTCTTATGCACGCGCTTTGCAAATGTCAGTGAGCGCCATCGTTTTGTTTTCATCAGCATGGGTTTGAAAATCATGTCATGGAGAATTCTATATGAATATTCACAAAGCTGTTTAATCACTATTTGGAGCACTGGGATCGCTAGAAGAGTGCTTAATGCGAAAACCTCAAATTCGACCGAAACTGACATTTTTTCACTTCGTTTGCCCGTAGCTCAAAATTAGACACTCATTCTGCCAGCGCGGCTCACAAACGCTCTATTTTTCTAAGAGTAAGTGATAAAGACGGCTGACGCGCTGCAGACCTGGCAGACCAGCGAGTCCTTGTTGGCGATCTCGTTCTCCAGTTTGTCGTTGAGGTCGTGGACAGACGTGGCTTCTCTCTGAGCCGCTAGGTAGCGCTTCTCCAGCGTGGTGATCCTCTCCTCCATGTCTTCCTTCTGAGCCAGAGACTGAGAGAAACAACAGAAACACATGGTCACAAACTGGCTCGTTCGATGCGCTCCTCTGCAGATGAAGGCTCTGCTGTCGTACCTCTCGTAAGTCTCTCTGCAGGCGGCTGTTGATGTCCTCGGACCTGATGAGGTCTTTGCGGGCCGTGTCCAGATCCTCCTCCAGCTCAGCGACGTGGCTGCAGAGAGACGCCACACGCTCCTTCAGGTGCAGGAGCTCCTTACTCTGTCTGTCCATCGCCTCCTGCAGCTCCCCGTCCTTCCCACAATCCTCCTCTGCACCCATAGAGACGTCTGACAAGCGCTGCTGTGAACACACACCATGCTTTACACTGGAATATGAAGACCTCATGAAACTGCAGTATGTTCAACAGAAACGCTTTCATTGAATTCAGGGTTTCTGCAGGATTTTTAAGCTCAAATTTAAGATTTTTTAAGATCTGCACAAATAAAATTAATAGCATATGAGCGGGGTAGGACAATGTCTATAGTAACATATTAAACTGTTAAATGACTGTAAAAAGCATAATTTACAGTTCATGTTCATAAAATGATACACTTCACATTTCAGCCTGTTTAAACCTTTTTTAAAAGTATTAATTATTATATTAATTTAAACTATTATCTATAAATTATTATATTAATTAAAAAACAAATACGTTTTACTGTTTAGATTTTTATAATGCATTATCTTCTTATCGATCCACCAGTTCACATTTACAGCTCTGCGTGTTTGCAGGGTAAAACCGTGGGTGGATTTTCACATTGGTCTGAACAAAAACAACAGGCTTATTGAAAATGCACATTCATTCTCTGCAGCAGGTGGCGCTTTTGGAACAGCAGAAACACAAGCGTTCCCCTGATATCAGCAGTAAACAGCAGCGCAGCACCGGACTCTGAAACGTGCAGCGCTCATATTCAATGAAATCAGAGCATTTTGAAGTTTGTCACATTAAGCCATATCGCAATTCTGGTCTTTCCGTCCCCAAGTTTAAGACCTCTTGAAATCATGATTAAGACTTTCTTGTACAATTTAAGACTTTTTATGGCCTTAAATTTGATACAACTAAATGCAAGACTTTTTAAGGACCCGCGGGAACTCTGGTATTATTTTGTTGAAAATATCACTCATAGTGAAACAATTCTGCTTCTGTTCTCAGGCCGAAAGAGAAGAAATAAAGTTCCATTTGTTTACACAGTGTTGAAAAGAGCCGGACGGTACAGTGGCATGTCAAGAAAGTGCAGCTGAGCTTCTGTTAAACATATTTAAGTTAAACAGCTCCATGCATGATCATGTTTATATGTGAATAAAAGCTTACAGTTAATCAGTTCATCATCATATCGATTACTCTTCAGATGACTTTTTGGAGCATGTAAGTTGTGGTTGCGTGGTGTTTACCTGGCCATTAGTGTTTGGTGCTGCATCAGAGCTGTGATTCACTTCTGCTGATCCATCAATCATCACCCTCTTCTGATTACTCTGCTCCGTGAGAAACACCAGCTACAACAGCCCAGAAACAAGCGTTATCCCACAGCGACATTGTTATTAGGGCTGAAACGATTAGTCGACATTATCGACAACAAAAAATTGACGACAAATATTTTTGTTGTCGAATAGTCGTTTGATCTCATGTGACCTAATGTAAGGAGCTGCAGTAACGCGGTTTGACCAGTGTGGCGCTGTAGCCCTCCTGGATGCAATTCAAGAGAAGACACACACGGCGTGTATGAGAGTCGGAGTGTAAACGCAGCTAAACCAGACGCTGCTGCATGTGTGACTTTCCTCTCAATAACGAAAAAAACGACGCAAATGACAGCGGTGAGAAAGCAGCAGTTAAGAAAGCATCTGATCATAGCGATGCGGATATGTTTGCATGAGCTCTCCAACCGGAACTCCAGTCACGTCACGTGTATTGATATAGCGCTTTATACAAGAGACTGATTTAAAGCAAGCAGCTTTAATACAGTATTAAACATTAAAAAACAGTGTCAGTGACGCTTTCAGAAATACAACTTGCTTTTCTGTTATAAAGCTATCCAGTGTGGAGCTAGCTAATAATACTTTTTATTAGTGAATGCAAAAATAAATAAATAACTAACTTATTACATTAAAGTGACAGTTTGGTTTGCATAGATTAACGCTTAATCTAGCTCAGGACAGTTTTGATTATCATAACACTATAAGGTGTTTTAAGAGAGCTAGTGTTTTGAATAAAATAATTTATACAAAAATAAACTTACTTTTATTTTGTTCCACATCCATATGACTTACTAGGAGACGTTAGGCAGAATGAGGAGTTGTTTTTTTCATATAGAGTCTGTCATCTCATTTTGTGTGCCAAATATATTTATTTGTATTTAAAAAAATAACTATGACAATTGTAATTGTACAATAGCAGTATAATTGTTTGAAATTTTCAAAAGCTGACATGATTGCCTTATATTATTTATTAGTTAGAATGTGTGTAACTCAATATTTCCACCATTTATAAAAGCTGAATAATACAACAAAGCCAACAGATTAATCTGTGAAATAATCATCGATTAGTTGATTAACCGTTGTAATAATCGTTAGATCACTTGATTCTCAAAATAATGTTTTGTTGCAGCTGTAATCGTTCTGTGAGGCTCACCTCTTTATGAGCGGCTGTGAGCTGCTCCTCCAGCATGCTGCATCTCTCCAGAGCCACACGCAGACGCTCTCTCACCTGATCAGAACAAACACGCCACACGTAAAGCACACCCCAAACACGCCAGCGGCACACACGTGAGCTTCCTGATGCCAGTACCTTCTCATCCAGGGCTTTGTGGTGCTCGAAGAGAGATTTGAGCGCCTTGAGCACCTCCACCTCACTGGAGACGCCGGCGGGAGACTGAGCCTGACGCTTGACTACGGTCATTCTCAGAGAACGCTCGTGACGAGACACCAGACACTCCAGATGCTCCAGCAACAACTGAGATCAGCAGCCAACACAACACAGACCACGCTCAGACCAAAGGGAGAAACACTGGCCGACCCTTATCATCAAATCAGCCTTGAAATAAAGAACCACGGACCCTTTTCACAAGACCGTGACGATGCGTTTCAGCGGTCATCGGCATCAGAAATCCTCCAAAGTTTTTTATATTTTCCTTTTAAAAAAATATGTGTACATTTATAACACTATACTTTGTATTATATGTGACACTGCAGCACAAAAGCAGTCATAAGTAGCACAGGTATATTTGTAGCAATAGCCAACAATACATTGTATGGGTCACAATTATCCATTTTTCTTTTATGCCAAAAATCATTAGGATATTAAGTAAAGATCATGTTCCATGAAGATATTTTGTAAACTTCCTACCGTAAATATATCAGAACTTAATTTTTGATTAGTGATATGCATTTCTAAGAACTTCATTTGGACAACTTTAAAGGCGATTTTCTCAATATTTAGATTTTTTTTGCACCCTCAGATTCCATATTTTCAAATAGATCAATGGAAAGCTTATTTATTCAGCTTTCAGATGGTGTATAAATCTCAATTTTAAAA